CACCTTTTAGAGAATGTCGACGTACTCCTAACAGATCCCTACCACGGCTAAACAACCTCTCTACTGCGACTTCAGCCGCCGGAATGGCAAGGTAATCCCTGGCTGCAGCTGCCATCCGCGGATACTCATCGTTGTGCGTCCTCCACCAGCCAAATAACCAATCTTCATCCTTTGTTACAGATTCATCAACAGTCACCACACCTTCCTCAAAGTAGCGGTCAATATCTGAACGCTGGATCACTTGTGGTTGCAGCTTCTGCAGAACACGAGCCTCCAGACTTTGCCGCTTGTTGTCCTGCTTAATCTTTGACGTTGATTGCTCCAGTGATGATTTCGATGGGTATTGCTCATGCAAGGTATCCTTGATGGATCGAATAACCTTTGGCGCCGTCACCTGCCCGAGCTCCTTATCCAACAAGAGGGTTTTGAAGCGTGGGTCAAGGACAAGAGCTATATAATAAGCATCTTGGGCGTCCATCAGTTCATAATATTTCTTGTATTTCTTCATCCCCGCGGAGATGGCGGAGGTAATGTCAGAGCTAAGCCCCGAAAAGTCGCCTTGTGCAGAAGCTGCATCTTCGAGCATGTCATTCAGTTCGTAATAGATGGGAATGGCTAGGCTGATCTGGGATTTCCGCCGGGAAACCAGTTGAGTGAACTCATCGAACTTGGAGAGGATCATTTCGAGCTGTTGCAGCTGCAACCAGTCGTCAGCTGAAAATGGCGGAAACTGGTTCTGATGCTCTATCCACATCCGGATCTGTGCTTTGGCTTGCAAGGCTCCCTGGACCATACGGTATGTGGAGTTCCAGCGGGTTTCCACGTCATACTCGATGAACTTGTCGTTCAAGCCATTTGCTTGGCAAGTCACTTTCCACTGCTGTCGTCGTTGAGGTGTCCTCAATATCCAGAGAGTCATGATCCGAATCCGGGCCAAGGCAGACTGCCGTCCGATTTTCTTATTTCCCTGTAAGAGATCACAGGCTTCAATGGCAGACTTGTGATCTCCAGATTTCATCCTCGAGAGGATGTCGCGGACAATGAGATTGAGGACATGTGCAAGACACCGGATGTAGCTGTCAATACCTTGAAATCGGAGACGTCCTTTATCGGGCAATTTGGAATCCTCCGAGTTGTACTTTTCCAACAGGTGAAAATACAGCTCAGACACCAGCGTTTCATTATTCGACGCATTATCAGCTGTGATTGTGAGCAGCTTCTCCTCAATCCGAAGCTCGACAAGCATCTTCTGCAGAGTCTCCGCCATATTTTCTCCACTGTGGGATCCAGCAAGTTCGCTGAACTCCAGGACTCGTTCTTGATATTTGAAGTCGGTGGACACCCAGTGACCGATAACTCCCAGAATGGCTTTATGGTTCTTGCTTGTCCAGACATCCAAGGAAAGCGCAATTGTGGAGCATGTCCGTGCTAGTTCATCGATCAACTGGATCCGACAGCGATCAAAATCTGCGTCAATGCGGCGGGCAACTGTTCGAGAAGAGAAAGGAAGAGGAGCGTCCGGCAAGTCCTTGAATATCTGTTGGAACGCAGGGGACTCAATTGCCGTAAATGCCACATCATCTGTCACAACCCATCGAAGTATGTTCTGTTCCAACAGAGCTCTAGTATCATGCTGGGCTCGGGACTGGAATATTGAAGCAATTGAGTGCTGTTTCGTCTCGCTGGAACCCTCGCCCAGGTCCTGTGGACCGGACTTTTCGAAAATGTTGTGTTTGGCTAGGTGCGTCTTCATGTTGGTCGTAGATGTTGCCCTTGCTGAATCTGTGGTTTTCCAGCCACAATGAATGCATTGAATCTCTCGATCCTCAAGCAGCTGTCGGCTTCGCCTGGGCCGCCATTGCTTGCCCGGAAGAGGACTAACTCGAAATTGATTCCAAAGCCATTGATTCAGTGGCTTAATGCGCGCTTTTCTGTGCGATTTGTATGGCCGTATGGCCTCTGTAAAGCATCTAGAGCTCCCTGGTGGAACAGATTCCGACGGAGTAGGTAGATTGAGATGCAGCTGGCTGGCGGAGTCTTCAGGACCAATCGATTCTAAGCGACCAGGTGGCGAATCCAGTCGGGGTTTCTTTCTGATATGATCTTCAATATCGTCTTCGTCACTTCCACCATTTAAGAAGTGGTAGTCTATTCTCTGAGACCGTTGGGGGCGTGGTGGCAATTCAGCAGATGAGCTGCCGGAGCCATCATTGTTTGAAGCTGGCAATTCAGCACCAGACATTCTGAGCTCTATTACCGTCATCGAAACACGTCCTTGAAATAAACTTGTCAGATTCGGACGCGACTTGTCACTTGGATAAACAAACTGCACGTGATATACTTTTTCCTATTGGGTGGGAGTTGGTTTTGGTGACGGGGCAATATTTGTACGAATATTCGTACGAATATTGGCCTTGCGAATACGAATATTCGTAGAGGTCTGTGATCTACGAATGCGAATGCGAATATCTCAAAATGTTACGAATATGTATTCGTGCCGACCCCTAGGGCCAGACAGTGTAGAAACTTATGTCCAGTCACTGTAAGTCTGTTCCTCGCCATAGTGGCTAACCTAATTAAGGTAGGGCGAACAGGATATAAAATACGGGCGGAAAAGGAGGCGGTATACAGATTGCCCAATTATATTGGATTCTGGGTTATTGCACTCGTGATCCCTATTAACCTCCGTAGCCGTCCTTGTTGACGAGAGTCAACTTTTGAACTTGTGATCATGGTTGAGATGGATACCTTGTTTTTTCGATTTTTTTTTTTTCAATCCTCTAAGTTTTACTCTATTTACTTTTGGAATTTCTGAGCTCTCAAACGAATGTGGAAAATGCGTTGTGATTGAATATATATCTTTTGGACCGTTCATCACCGGAAGCCACTAATATGAGGCACATTCACCAGCCATCAACACCACGAGATTGATCACCACCACCACCACTAAACGGACTGCTAACAGAGTACTGAGATTGAAAAGCGATTGAAAAGCTGACTACGCTGATTAACTTTCATGGTGAAATGAGACTGAGTACCTAGCCACCGATGTCTTCTAGTCTATAAAAAGCTCCAAGAATTAGTGGACATACTATTGCCCAGATACTCGACTTTCCCCTGCGATCAAGATGGATGCCCTTAACAGCACGCCAGACCAGGAAAAAGAAGGAGAACAACAACCCAATGCGTTGCTAATCGTTTGTGAAAAAGACAATTCGCAGGAAGCTTCTGATCATGTCCCTCCACTGGTAAGTAAAGCAGGCTCAGCTTCCAATGCTCTTGCTGACCGTCGCAGCTCTCTCCCTTGCAACAGGAAGCAGAAACAAGACATACCTTGGCGACCGAGCCATTTCAACCTATTCTGAAGGTGCTAGCAGACCTCGAACGCGACGATCCCAAGTTCGCCTTTCCCGCGGCTCGACTTATCGGACTCTATCGACGCCTATGGGAGTCGTGCGTGTCTAAACACATCGATGGCCAGAACCTAGAGCAGAGCAATCGTATCTTGAAGGAGGCTAGCACACACCTGACTAAAGAGAAGGACGGACTTCAGCTGCGCCATGACAAGCAGCTGTCTCGGCTGCGCTTTTTCGAGCAGACACTGGAATCATCTCGGGGTCGACTGACTCGCGTACTGGATGACTGGAACCACCCTCCAAGACTCAATCTATCCGGGTTCTTGGACAACGCAAGAGAAGAGTGAAGCATTGTATATTCTAGATTGTTCTATGTCTTACTTTTACAAGTGGAAAATATGCAATGTTGAAATGAAGAGAATTACTGCTTGGAGATCAGCTTATGCTTTTTCGATAGTTCACACTAAGAAGGGTATATTATAGCCTTCATGGAATGTGTCTGCGAATAATCCCACATATTCTGGGACAATCTCACTTTAAACCACAGTGAAGTGCGGAATAAATACTTTACAGTGTCGGCAAGGATGTTGACAAGTCTCCACACTGATTTGTTGTATTCTTCATTCACCCGAGCAGTTCCCCGGACGTCTTGATCCCACGATTTTTGTTCCACTGCGGACTCATCGGGAAACCGGCAGCGGGGGGCTAGACTTGTATCCCTTTGATTGAAGTAGGCCGTATCTTCAGTGACACTATTTTTGAGCATTTTCATGAGTTGAGCATGTTGTACACTGGTTACTGGTTTCCTGGCGCTGATAAAACTACCGCGGGGAGTCAATTGCAAATTCAAGACAATGGAGGTACACGTCGCTGCTTGGGTACTGTAGTCCACTCACATATTTCTCATACATCTTCTTCGTAATTTATCTGAGAGATCGGTACGCGGCGCGAGCAACGTTGAGCCAACCACATCTCCTAATATCCTCGGGACTTTTACGACAGAAATACAGGAGGCAAGATCTAGACTAAGCGTAAAAGAAGCCAGATTTGTTTGTGGTTTTTGTAATCACCATTACATACGGTAGGAATTGTCGTTGTCCGAAGTCCTGACTACCGGCCCCTTTGCCTAGAGAATCGCCTTCTCGCGGTGCTTGCCGAACTTACATGGCCATTTCGCCCAAAGCTGGACGATGTCGTCGCACTTATACACCCCAGTGGTTCCTATCCCTTGGTAAATATAGGTCTAATAGCCTATATTTGTCCACTGAAATTACGCAGCGAAGTCGCAGCCTCATACTACTGATTCGGATAAAACGGTTAACGCATCTCTCCATGTTGCTTAGAGTGATGCTAGCCCCAAATGGGCAGCCGGAGGACAAGGAAGAATGAAGTACGCCAAAGAATGAGAAATACGACCAAGACGGTCGATTATTGAGGGAATATCGGAATTTGGAGTAGAGGTATGCGCATTAAAATGTAGTGGCGCATCACTGTAACCGCAGTACGAAGATATCCGTAGGACAGGAAATTTGTGGCGAAAGAGGCATTGCAGCGCTGGAGGTATTTGAGAGTATAAATATGTGGCTTTTGCGCTGTGGTCTATGTCGTGTATCTTTCCGACTCATCTCCATATTCAAATGAAACATGACTCTGACAAACTTCACAACACATGCCCTTGATGGCTTATGTACTCAAGAACAGCTGGACCTCTTGAATTCCATCGATACACTCCGATCGCAAGGCATCAGCCACTACATCTCTCTTCCACAAATAATCGTATGCGGAGACCAATCTTCCGGAAAAAGCTCCGTTCTCGAAGCAATTTCCGGCGTTTCTTTTCCAGTGAAAAGCAGTCTGTGTACTAGATTCCCAACTGAATTGGTTCTTCGGAAGAACTCGCAAGTGGGAGTTCGGGTTTCCATTGTTCCTCACCAATCGCGCAGCGACGCAGAGCAGCATTCACTTGGCAGTTTTTGCGAACAACTCGATGGATTTGATGGCCTTGCAAACTTGATAGAGAATGCAAAGGCAGCAATGGGAATATCAACTCACGGAAAAGCGTTTTCGAATGACCTTCTGCGGGTTGAGGTTTCGGGCCCTGACCGGCCACATCTAACAATCGTCGATCTTCCGGGACTGATCCACTCAGAAACACGACAGCAGTCGGCGGCCGATGTACAACTAGTCCAAGATGTGGTTCAGTCATACATGAGAGAATCACGAAGTGTCATCCTTGCTGTTGTCTCCGCCAAGAATGATTTTGCAAACCAGATCGTCCTTCGTTTAGCGCGGGACGCTGATCCATCCGGCGACCGGACATTAGGCGTCATCTCAAAGCCCGATACGCTGGTCCCAGGATCTGAAAGTGAGGCTTCGTTTGTATCGCTCGCTAAGAATCAAGACGTGGAGTTCCGTCTAGGATGGCATGTGTTGATGAATATGGATTCGGAGAAAGGCCAGTGGAGCTTATCCGACCGGAACATGCAAGAATTGAACTTTTTTTCCCAAGGCATCTGGGAAGACTTACCTCGATCACTTGTGGGTGTGGACTCATTGCGAAATCGTCTGAGCAGTCTGCTCCTTGGTCAAATTGCAAGTGAACTTCCAAGCCTGATCAACGAGATAAATTCAAAGATCGATTCCTGTCGGTCGCAACTCCAGAAGCTTGGCGACCCTCGCGCAACATTAGACGAACAACGGTCGTATCTTTTGCATATCAGTCAAGCATTCCAATCTCTGGTCAAAGCAGCAGTGGACGGCACTTACAACGAGCCTTTCTTCGGAGATGCGAAAACAAAAAATGGGTACCAGAAGCGCGTCCGAGCAGTCATTCAAAATCTGAATCAGCAATTCATGGAAAAGATCTCCCGCCGTGGCCATTTCCGCCATGTGCTTGAAGGTGAAGATCAAAGATCGGGCTCCAAAACTCAAGTATGTCTCACAAGAAAGGAATATGTTCAGCATATCGAGACGCTTCTCAAAAAGACAAGGGGTCGAGAGTTACCTGGTACTTTTAATCCTTTGATCGTTAAGGATCTATTTCAAGAACAATGCGGCCCGTGGGAAGACATAACACACAGCCACATTACCGCGGCTTGGACGGCTGCAAGAGAGTTTCTTCAACATGCAGTTTCCTACGTGGCAGACGAGGCTACTTCAAAGGCCCTGTTCAAAAAGGTGATTCTGCCAGCTCTGGGGAATTTGCGACATGCATTGGAGAAGGGAAGCGAAGAGCTCCTTATGCCGCATCAACGAGGCCATCCTATCACCTACAACCACTACTTCACCGAAACACTCCAAAAGACTCGCACTGATCGCCAAAAAGAAGCCTTCCGCAAAGCTCTTCAATCATATTTTGGTGTTGATACTCTTTCAACCTCTGAACCTGTGCTGCACGCCATCAATCTTCAAGGGCTTTTCAATTCTCTTCTTCAGAATACTATACCAGACATGACACGTTTTGCGTCCGAGGAGGCACTTGACTGCATGCTCTCCTACTACAAGGTATGTCCTTCCCACCGCCTAAATTAAATCCTCTGATTAAATTGTTGATGCCGAAAATAGGTTGCACTCAAACGTTTTGTTGATGACATTGCCACCGAAGTAATAGAAGTCAAGCTTCTCAGTGCACTGCCTACGCTTTTTACACCTATAACTGCATTCGAGATGCCCAAAGACTTGGTCGGTCAAATAGCAGGTGAATCCGAGGAGAGCCAAAGCCTCCGGGAACAACTGAACAAAAAATTGTGGATCCTCACGAAAGGTTCAGATACTTGCAAGCGATTCGTTGGTATCAGAGGCCTTGGTAAGCGAATTCAGCTTACACTCATACTTATACTGACCTAGTCTGTAGAGTTGAACAATGATTTGCAGGCTAGCTTACAACAAAATCGGGATAGATTGTCCTCTAGCTCTTCTAGCTCGATCGAGCTACATGAGGAAGCTGACGCAATTGACTCTGAATCAGTCGACGAGCAGTCCAGATCACCCAGCCCAGAGCAACCTGCCAAACATGGGTATGCTCTGGAATATACCAAAGAACCGGAGCAGCTGTTAGCAGCTTCTATTCCCACGAAGAGTGTCAAAAAGAAAACAAAGAAAAAGTCTGCCAACAAACTTCCATCTCTCGTCGAACCGGCTGGTGAGGCTCCTACGGAATGAGAGTCGCTTGGTGATGGGAATTGGGAGTGCGTTTCATTCCCCCCACCCAACCACCAGAAAGTCACTGTTGTTGGAAATGTAGTTGACTGTGAAGGTCGAAATCTAAAGCACAGTCTACCAATTTTAGCACAACAATCGTTGAATCAATGGGTACAGTTCATTTTTATTCTTTTTATTCAATCCATTCATTTCCATTCAAAGTTTCTATCTGTTAAAGTTGCCGTCAAACGCTAGTGAGAATTACAGAAGTTTATAAACCGGCGATTTAACGGGGGTTGGGAAGGAGGGAATGTCATAGGCATAGCAGACATTTGTTTATTTTGACTACAAGAGCCAGGAAATCAGGAGAAATTTATGGCCAGGTGCTAAGTTGCTGGAAAACCAAGCGTTGGCTGTATTAACAGTCTGAAAACTTAACACCCCGTCACCAAGCCCAACGGAATCTTCATCGGCCCCTGCATGGACCTCCTCTAAAATCAGCGACGATATTCGGGAGAGAACACAAATACATAGCAGAAATATCGAAACGTGTCCTTATCCACGAGTGTCAAACAATACTGAGACCTTATCAATTCCCATCAACACGGCAGGCTTGAGCATCACTCGCTTGCAAGGCTGAAACCACACCGTTACAAAGGGCCTGAACTGCTCGTTTTCGATCCCACAATACCAGTTTCTGTTCCTCGCAAAGCTGCAGAAGGATGTCACTGTCGCTTGCTAGCCACTCATTCAACTCTTGAAGCTGTCGCTGCTCATCCTCAAGTCGCATCTTCTCGGCAGATTTGACCACGTAGCATTCCCATAGGCAAAAGTACAGGTCAAGCAGTTTCAGGGCTGGCGTAGCGAGGGTGTCATTGTATTGTAGAATTTTCATAAACTCCGCCGTCAGGGCACCAGGTGTCACTGGGATCTGCAGAGTGTTAATGTATCTGTTCATTTCCTGCCGAAGAGGGTATGACTGACCTTGGGCTCGATGATTGTGCCGTTTGAAGATTCTTGTGGGTGGTTTTCCAAGGACTCATCTTCTCCATCTTGGGACATCCGACGCTGCCTCTTGGCTGGCCGATCAATTGGAGAAGGCGAGGTAGGATGGTCCATCGCGGCTGTAGAAATGAAATGGAGGAAAAGTTCTGCTCGAGAGCCTTTTATAGACCGGTAAGTCACAGCAAGGCTGCTGTGATTGCACTCGTATCCCCTCGGGTCTGGTTTTCAACAGCGCTGAATAGTTCAGTAAACAGTTACTCAACTGTTGATGCTCGATCTCACCTGTTGTTCACCCAAATACTCAGTTATATGAAGAATTGGGCGACAGGTGAAGCCTTACAACACATATTGCAGATGATATCCCTAATGGTGGCCTGCAAGTGTATTCCTGATGCATTGGATCCTAAATCGAATAGAGTTCGTTGAAGTTAATTGTAACGTTATTGTGACTGCGAACCATCTGAACGACGGTGATGCAGATTTCGATTTCAGATAGCGCTTCATATCACGAGAGTTACCTAAATTAAATATCACTCGCCTTTACAGTCCACGGCCCATGTGTCTCCCTGGCAACGGCGCCAAAATCGTTTGACCGGAGTTATCGTCTTCTATCCGGTTCCCAATGATCCTTCGGATGTAATAGTCACTTCCCAACTCTAAAGATCTCCTCAAACTACCATTTGTCAGTCTTCTACACACTACAAGCGCAAATACAATTGGGACTTATCAAAAAGATGTTAACTTCTTCTTTCCCAAAGCTTAAGCGAAAGCTTCAAAATTCATCCAAAATCTTTTCTCCCTGTCGATCAAAATATCTCCCAGATATCCCTGCCACCGCTTCTGAATCCGAACGCACGCGGCGATCAGCTGCCCCATCCCCAGAGGTGTCCCCAACAAACATAAAAAAATATGAAAAAGAAACAACAGACACCTCGATTGACTTGCAGTCCCTCACCACAGAGCGTCACAAAACAGAGTCAAGCTCAACTCATCATCTGACCCAGATCACGCGAGGAGAGTAGCAGGCTGCGGGTGGGTTTTGCAAAAGCAAAAGCTTTCGGGTGGCCACTTCCGTGGGAAACATGCGACAGTTGCCAGAGAACGTCAATCAACTTTCTTTATCGAAGAACACCGTGTTTATCACTAGAGGCATGTAACGGATACAGCTCAACTGAAGGGGTTTCTCGTCTGGAGAAGATCCGGACGACGGATTTTCACGGCTCCGGCCAACCTAAGCACCGCTCGATTTGCCTCTTCGGGCAGTCTTTCCTTGTTTTTGAGAATGCCTCATTGGGGAACACGGCCATGTCAACGCTGTAGGGCATGCTGCTTGGCCACGCATGTACCAATAGAGGCGAATCATGAATTTCCAATTGACCCATGACATCTTTGGCTTGATCCAGGCGAGCATCTAACAAACGCAAAATTTGGTCGGCCCACACCTTTCGTCGAGAGCTGTGACGTCTGCACTCAAAACAAAAAAGTTGCTTTGCAGCCAAAGATAATCTCTGCGCTAAAGGATATGCGAAAGAAGAGTTATTGGAGAGCTGAAAGCACAATACTCCGTTTATCCGGGAATCAATCGGCACGGTGTTTTGACAGTGACCCCATATGCACCGCTCACGGTGCAGGGGGTCGCCCAATGCTTGGCCCAATACCCGTTGGAGATGAGTTGGATTCCAGGCCATGATGAGGAATAGCTGTAAATGCCTCGGGGTGATTGTGAGATCTGGGGTGTAATCTTCCGTTTGGAGAGTTCTATTCTCGAGTGGTATCTGTGATCAAGTAGGAAGAGTGCAATATATAGATGCTTGAGAAAGCACGTAGTGGGACTTTATTCTCGCTGGGCCCTTACATGCCTGAGCATGAAGTCTGGGCTTATTTGGCGACCGAAATTTCTCGTCTCATTCCTGGAAAGACGGTGTTAATTCCTGGGAGCTCTAGTCGCATTGTTCAAGGTTATACATGAAGCACACTCGATGCGTGGAGAAATGATATGCGGGACATGCATCCTGGCTCCCTTGAACGCGAGGAAGCAGAAGCGGCTTTCTCGCCCTACATCTTGTAGTTAGAGTCAACTATATTTGTTCTTAACATTGATAGTTCATCTTGAAACACCATCCACCTCTATGTATACGTGAGACCCTCACGAGACAAGGGAGATCCCAGGACTAATATGTGGATTCCCACTGGCCGATACAGCCGCCAACAAAAATATCAATGGATCAATAACGTCCTGCAAGCTTCGTACAATTTCCTGGCTATGTAATTCCTGGATGCCTCACATGTTTCCGAAGTCAGCTTTGTAAAGTCCCTACACATACTGTACAACGGTTGACGAAAAAAATTTATACACAGGTGATCGACAGCCAACATGTCTTTTGCACCAAGCAACTCCAGGATGAGCTTTAACGTGACGACACTGCTGTAACATCGGCCATGATCGGTTGGCTAGTCAAATCAAAAGATGGACACGCATTAAATTCAGTCAATCAATCTAATCCTTGAGCGGTCTTAGCAATTCTGTAGTGTGTGGCTTTCGGTGCGGCTGAATGGTGAGGCAATATCAGACCCCGAGGCGTCGGAAATACAACTCCCTTCCGCACGTTCCTATTCATGACCAACTATGATCTGGCAGCCATGTTGCTCCTGGGAATCTCCTTCAAATCAATTAGTGGCTCGGGCTGCATGTGGATACGGATATCCTGGGTCCCATCGTCGCGTGGGTGTATGTACCGCGATTGAGGCAACATATTGACGTTCACAGTGCTCCTAAGAGCCGGTGCTGATAAGGCTAACCCGCGAAAAGATAACTGTGAATATACTTTTCAAAGTTGACATGACCGCTTCTGCGCACAATATTTAAAGGTCGTGATTGTCCTTATGGTCAATTCCCTCAAGTTTTTCGTTCCCTACAAGATCTTGTCATTACAATACCCGTACTAAGGGAACCAAACAATTATGGATTACAAATTGTCACGGGCATCGAACAGGCCCATTACCCCAGACACAGAAGGTCAAAACGGACATACATGGCAAGCTGGTATCATCCTTCTAGATCCCCTTTCTCGAGGAATTCATTGGCTAACAAACCTGTTTCATGGAGGTAATGAATCGGATGAAAACTTCCGACGGGTCGTCGGCCAATTCATCCACGGGGATCGCGGCAACGCAAGCCAGATTTTCCAACCGTCCGTTGACCGGTCCCTGCTTGACTCTGTAGCTACATCTCTTGCTACCTCTATTGCTAGCTCAAGGAACTCTACATCGCCTCATAGCGACAAGAAGGCTGAAACTCAAGACCTATCCCCTCCGGAAGGGAAAAAGAGAGCAGCCAAATCCTCAACCCTCTCACGAAAACTGGCAACGCAAGAGATGCAACGAAAGAGACGTGTAAGCGTTACAGCAATCAGTACAAACATGGTAAACGATACGATTCAATACCTACAAGCGGTATCTGATCACATCTCAGCTTCCGACACCATTTCATCCAGGGAGTGGGCCACGATGCACCTCGCCACACAATTGCTACTGAGCAGGTACGAAGAGATTATTGTGAGGGAAGAATTTGAAATACATGCTGTGCCCGGCTTTTGTTCTGCACAGACACAGCCAGAAGACAAGTGCCGGAGGTGTGCTGCTGCGGATGAGGAACGGCTTTATGATTGAGAAGCTCCTCGTTCTTCTTAGCTACCCTTGGTAGCATGACTAGCCATTGCAATGGGTTGGACATGTAACTCAGAATTGTTGATTGAGAATCTACTAAGCCACAGATCCATCAGTCCATGGACTATGAGATCCCAGGTACGACGATGGGTTGAACAATTTATTGTAGACAATGTAGTCCTCTCAGTAAGCCCGAGCAATTACAAGACTCGATCGATAATAACCAATAGGGATAGAGGCAACGGAAAAATGCCGTATCCTATGGTCTGACATATCTGAAGCCTTGATACTTGAAAGCAGACAGTATCACACCCTCAATGTTTCGGTCATACAAAATCTAGATGTTGTTC